AAATGATAAAAGATAAGGAAGTATTTCTTCAAAGATGAGATACTGATGGCAAATAAACACATAAGAAGGTGTTCAACAACACTGGACATCAGAGAAATACAAATTAAAAGTACAATGAGATGTCACCATATACTATTAGATCAACCCAAATAAAATAAAATAAAAGCAGTAACACCAACTGTTGGCGATGGTATGGAGAAATTACATCTCGGGAATCTAAAGTGGTAACATAAAATGGTACAGCCACTCTGGGAAGCAGGTGAGCAGTTCCTGATGGGAACCATGCACTTACCACACAGCCTGGCAATTGCCCTCCTGAGCATTTATCCCAGAGAAATGAAAATTTCAGTTCACACCAAAACCTGTATGCAGATTTTCATAGCAGCTTTATTTTTAATAGCCCCAAATTGGAAACAACCCAAATGTCCTTCAAGAGGTGAATGGTCAAACAAACTTTGCATATCATCTATACAATGGAATATTACTCAGCAATAAGAAGGAACATACCAAATACACACGTGAACCCAATGGATCTCAAAGGCCTATGCTCAGTGAAAGAACCAATATCCAAAGGTTACAATAGTGTCTGATCCCATTTATATAACATTCTAAAAATGACAGAGATGAACAGATTAGTGGGGCCAGGGGACAGGGATAGAGTTGGAGGCACAGGGGAGAACTATGGGAGTGGTTCTGTGTCTTGACTGTGGTGGCAATTACACAAATCCATATACACGGGGATACATTTGCAGACCACACATGCACCTGAGTGCATGTGAAGGCTGGTTAATGCTGAATGAGATCTATAGCCTGGTAAACATAATTGTACCCATGGACAAAACACCTTCCCGGTTTCGGTGCCGTACTACAGTTAGATCTTAGCATCGGGGAGTGGGGGAGCTGGGAGACTACGTTCTATTTCTGATGGCCCTATAATTATTTATTTTAAAAATCAAAACACAAAAAACCTCCCAGAAAGTAGAACAAAAAGGCCATGCGGTGGAGTGAGAAAAGGTGTCGTGGATGCGCGGTGATCAAAGGAGACTCTCTCAACCCCCCACCCCATATTTACCCCTGTACCTGCATCATCCCAGGTACTAACCCCTCTCCCGGGCAGGTGGGTGAGCTGTCCATGGTGCTAGTGAAGACTGTCCACCCCATTATGTAATAAGCCTCATCTCTTCTTACTCAGCCACAATCGACGATCCCCCCTCTCTCCCGTACACGTCATCAACATCTTTACTAGATCCTGCAAACCTCCTGGCGTGGCTCCCATCTCTATGTGCCATACCCTTTACCCCCTCAAGGAGAATAGAGGCTCCAGAGGGACGTACATGGTACAGAAAGCAAGGATGTGCTTCTTGGCACAGTTAGTGAGAGTGTGTAAACCCCAAGCCTGCTGCTTTTGTAGAGGAGAGGAACTGGAAAGACACATACCAAAATGGGGCCCATGGCTTAACTTGGGGTGGTGAGATGGTGATTGCTTTTTTCTTCTTTATGGTTAACTGTTTTCTTAAAGTTTATGTAATAAAAGGATTACTTTTGAGATGAGAAAAAAAATCAATAGAGGTTATTCTAGAAAATGCCATCAATAGCCCCCCACTGCCCACAGCCCGACTCTAATCTCTTTATGCTTGCAAGGCGGGCCCTCCCAGCCTGGGGGTCCCAGCAGCCCCCAGCCCCATGCTGCCCCAGCTGCTGACCTCCAGCTGCACCTACCTGCCCCTCGGGGTGGGGCAGGGTCCTGGGCCTATCTCCCACCGCCTGTTTATCCTCTGAGGTCTTGGCCTCCCTGAGAAGTCTCCTCTGTGCTCCCCTGGCACCCCATGACCGCTGCTGGGCTGACAGGTCAGTGGCTGCCTCTCCCATTCACCCCCTCCCTTCCCTACGCCTTTCCCTGCTCCCTCCATGGGCTGACGTGTACAGACTTCATCCCTGGGCCCTCTGGGTCCTGGTGTTCTGGCCGTTCAGCCAAGGGGGAGCCCTGCCGGGGAAGGGAGGAGAGTGGGGTGGACACACGTGCTGGTCTGGTCGGGCTGCTGGTCGTCCACTGGAGGCCCCTCTCCGGGCCCTGGCGGGTGTCTGCACCATGTTTCATCCTGAGGCTCCTCCCTCATCCTGATGGGCCACCATGAGCTGCCAGCAGGGCTGCAGCTATCCTGTGGGGCTCCCCCACACACTCTGTCTGGAAACGGTCCCTTTGTAGGCACCCCCCTTGAATTACTCTATTTTGGGGTGTCACCTCTTTCCTGTGGGGGCTGTGACTGATGCGCTGTCAAAGGAGGGGACAGGTCTCATTGACGTCCCTGGCGTGCGGGTACACAGCAGGTGCTCTGTAATCGTATGCTGAGTGAGAGAATGCGTGACACCTCGGGAGTACCCGTCTTGGATATGCTGCTCTCTTGGCTCGGAGGTCCACCCTGGTGAGGGCCCACGCCTGCTGCTCAGCCCCGCGTTTGGCCTCTCTCTGCTCACAGATGGGCCTGATTCTTCAGCCCTCCTTGCGTCCGCATCACCTGCCTCCCCATCTCCACCAGCCGCCCCAGGGGCCCGGGTGGGCTGACCGAGATCCGCAGAACCCCCGAGCCAGCCCCCCAGGTGTGTGAGCGGTAATGCCCTGTGCTTGTCTGTGGGGCAGCGTCATTGTGCCCCTGGACCTGATGCGCACCCAGCACGGTCCCACGCGCCATCTGCCCTTCTTGGTGACCCCGAGTGGCGGGGGAGGGGCCCGCTGAAGTGCACAGAGGGCGACGTGCTGTGGTCGTGAGTGGCAGGGCCTGGGTCGGGGCCTCTGCCTTTGGCCTTCGGACCCCGTCACCTGACAGACCCACGAGAGCTGCCCTTCCAGGCGCCGATCCCGGACAAGGGCAGGGCGCACCTTGCAGGTCTTCATCCCGCGCTCAGAGCTCAGTCCTGAGCCCCCAAGGATGCCGACCTGTCCTGATTTCGTAGCCTCCACCCCCTCCTCACTGGGGTTCTCTTATCCAGACCAAACACCACCCCTTCCAGGAAGCCTTCCAGGTTTTTCCCATGCAGGGGTTCCCCACCCTTGTTGGGCCTCCTGGGTCTCGCGCCACCCCAAGCTGGGTCACCTGCCTCTGCGTCGCGTGCCCCGATGGCCGCGAGCTCCTCAGGGGCGGGGGGCGGGGTTGGATCTCTCTCTGGGGCCCATGAGTGCTTGGCACGGAGCTCTGCACACATTAGGTACTTAATAAGTGTGTGTCTTCTCCCACGCTGTCTACGCCTGTCAACGCCACTACGACCTGGTTCAAAGGCAGGTGACGTACACATCTGTGTCTCGGGACGGGACTGACGTCAGGCATCCAGCCGCCTCTGCCCGGCCCTGGCTGTTCCCCGGGAGGGTCTGAGCATCTGGAGGGGGCTTCTTGGCCACCCCGGAGCCCACACCTGCCCCTCTTGCTGCGTGTCCCTCCCCTGGGGCCCCTGCTCGGTGGCAGCGCTCCTGGTGGTGACGTGTTCCTCTCACACCCCCGGCCTGCCCAGGGCACGCACCTCTATTCTGTGCCCACTGTTCTCCGATTCCCTAAAAATAGCCAATTTTATCTCCTGGGTGACAGCAAGCAGCTGACTGAGAGGCCAGGCCCCACTTCTGTGCCCTGGCCAGGACTGTCCCACATCGCTCTGGGACCTTGGGCCAGGCAGTCCTCTCTCTGGGTCTCCGCCCCCCCATTCCTGCCATGCTGCCCTGGGCTCCCTCACCCGTCCTAGGTTCCCCTGTGCTGTCCTCCCAGGACCCCATGGCAGAGGGTGAGGAGCTACCTGGAGCTGGGCAAGCCTGTGCCTGTCGGAAGGCCATACACAGTCCGCAGAGATGACGCACTCTGGAGGGGCTCAGGTGAGCGGGGCCAGTCGGGGCCCACCCGGGTCATGTGCTCCATGTAAGCCTCACACGCCGAACCTTAATGAGGTCAGCTGAGCGCAGAGGTCAGGAGCAGGTTGGGGGCAGACTGGCCCTGTCCACAGTGCTGTAGGGCCACTAGGAGCTGGGCCCTGTGGGAAGCCACTGGTTTCCCCTCAAGTCTCAGGGAGGGACCTAAAGCTGGGAACTGCTACTGACGGAGGGGTGAGCTCCCTGTCACTGGAGGTATACAAGCAGAGGCTGCTGGTCTTATGGGTGTTCCCAGCCCTGACTCCCTTCCTGCTGACCCGCTGGATCCTGGAAATCTGCTTGCACCCCTCTGCTCTCTGCCCCGACGTCTCTCAGGGCCCCTTTGCCTCTGGGATCCAGCACCTTCCCCCACCAATGCCTAACTGGGTCTTCGTCAGTTGAGTCTGGGTTTGCCCTTGGCAGAGAGGGTGAGGCAGGAGCCTTAGGAAGGAGCAGGGAGGGCCTGGGGTGGCCAGGCCAGCGGTGCTGGGGAGATGGGGGTGAGGCAGGGCAGGGCCCCGGCCACCCGCTCTTCTGGGAGAAGGTGGCTCTGCTGGACCCAGGGCTCGGGCCGGGCACTAGGGAGCCTGTGGCCTCCGTGGCAAACAGCCCCACCGGCGCCGGCCACAGAGAGGGGCTTTTCTTTGGAGTTGGAATGGTCTGGTGTGGTTCATACACTCAAACTGCTCGCTCACTCTGAATTTGGGGTCACACCACGGAGGGTAAGGTGCTTGTGCAGCAAGCGGTCCGTGGGTCTGGCTGTGGGGCTCAGGCTCTGACTCACCTGCCAACCCTCTCCAGCTCGCCCCTACTCACCCGCAAACCCACACCAGCCGCCCGTCACCTCTGGCCACCCACTCAGCCACGCACATCAGACACGTGGCCCTAGCTCCTTCCTGCCCCGTCCAAACCGCCTCTGCACACTCTCCAACGTTCTCCAACCCTCTCGTGTGCCCCCTGCCCCTGGTCTCCAGGGAGGAGGGCTCAGTGGTGACCCTATTTGTAACCCCAGCCCCAACCCAAGGCCAAAACCAATAACCGCCCCCAAATAGCATATAAAAGAAACCCAAATCTTTCCCTAAACCCCCACAGTAAAAACCCAGTACAAGCATTTGGGTTTTTCCCTTTGCAGATTTTTTTTTTTTTTTTTTAGTAGACACAGTCTCTCTCGTTTTACAGCGAACATTGCAAATATAGAAATATTTTTCTGTACAACGGGACGATGACAGCGTAAGGTGGGGACGGGGACAGAGCACACACGCCCAGCCCGCGACCCTTCCAGCCACCCCAGGCACAGCCCTCCCTGCGCCCCTCGCCCCTCGCAGGGCTCTGGGTGGGTCCTGGAGGCCACCCGGCCACCTCACTCGCTCTGTCCCCTCTTTGGTGGCCTCTGGAGTTGGCAGCAAAGAGATGGACAGAGGGGAGAATCCACAGCAAACCAGGACGATCGTGGGAGGAGCCGGGTGGCCACGCAGGCTGTGCCCCCCGTGTCTGGTGTTTGTTTTATGTCTTTAAGAGAGCTTTACTTTTATTATTTTTTTCTTTAAAAAATGAAAAAATAAAAGACAGGAAGATCAAGAAGGCAGAGAAGAATCAAAGAGGAAAGATAATGAAAAAAAAGTCCCCTCCCCAACCCCCACCCCCAGACACAGTTTTCTCAAGTCCCTTGTGTGTGTGCGTGTGCGCGTGCACAGTGTGTGTGTGGAGGCTGCGGCTCATCCTGTTGTGAGCGGCAGCACCCCCTCCCCGCACTCTGTGGGCCCCAGGCTTCCACACCAGCCGTGTGCGTGTTTGTGTGCACACGCATGTGTGCACGCATGTATGCGTGTGTGTGCGTCTGTCTCCATGTGTGAGCGTGGGTCTCCGTGCACGTGTATGAGCATGTCTTTGCATGTGTGTGCGTGTGCATGTCTGTGTGTGAGCGTGTCTCTGCATGTGCGTGTGTATGTGCATGTGTGCGCGTCTGTCTCCGTGTGTGAGCGTCTGTGTGCACATGCATGTGTGTGCACGCATGTATGCGTGTGTGCGTGTCTCCGTGTGCACATGTGAGCGTGGGTCTCCGTGCACGTGTGTGAGCATGTCTCTGCATGTGTGCATATGTGCATGTGTGTGCGCGTCTGTCTCCGTGTGTGAGCGTCTGTGTGCACGCATGTATGCGTCTGTCTCCATGTGTGTCCGTGTGCGCATGTGTGAGCGTGGGTCTCCGTGCACGTGTGTGAGCGTGTCTCTCTGCATGTGTGTGCGTGTGTGCGTCTGTCTCCGTGTGTGAGCGTGTCTGTCTCTGCATGTGCATGCGTGTGTGCGTGTCTGTCTCCGTGTGTGAGCGTGTCTGTGTGCACATGCATGTGTGTGCACACATGTATGCGTGTGCGCGTCTGTCTCCGTGTGTGAGCGTGTCCGTGTGCGCATGTGAGCGTGGGTCTCCGTGCACGTGTGTCTGTCTCTGCATGTGTGTGCGCGTCTGTCTCCGTGTGTGAGCGTGTCTGTGTCTCCATGTGTGTGCATCTTTATGTGCACGTGTGTATGTGTGCGTATCCGTGTGCGCATGTGTGAGCGTGGGTCTCCGTGCGTGTGCGCGTCTGTCTCCATGGTGAGCGTGTCTGTGTCTCTGCACGTATGTGTGTGCGTCTCTCTGTGCACGTGTGTATGCGTGTGCATGTGTGCGTGTCCGTGTGCGCATGTGTGAGCGTGGGTCTCCGTGCACGTGTGTATGCGTGTGCGCGCGTCTACATGTGCACGTGTGTGGTGCGTTGCGTGGGAGTCTCTGGGTTACGAATAGCTGCAGTGGGTCTTGTGTCCTTTTTTGGTCCCGGGGAAGGTGCGGGGCGGGCGCCGGCCGCGGGCTCAGGACTTGTGCTGGGCCGACACGCCCTTCCAGTAGTCCAGGATGTCGTGGAGGTCCTCGTCTTTGGCGAACTGAACCTTCTTGCGCAGGGCGTGGCCGGCCGCCATGAACTGCTCGTCGTCCTTGTGCCGCCGGCGGCTCAGTCTGAAGCGCTCCCAGATGCTCTGGGAGGCCCTGCAGGTGTACTCGGGGCTGGAGGAGTAGCTCAGGTTGTGGTACTGCGGGGACAGCTGCGAGTAGGCCAGGTCGCGGGGCCGCGGCCGGGTCAGCGGCTCCAGGATGGACGCCTTGCGGCCACCCAGGCTATCGTGGGGCGGGGGCGCGGGCGGCGCGGGCGGCTCGGCGGCGTGGGAGCCGGGATACGAGTGCCGGTGCTCGCCATAGTGGCGGCCCTTCTCGGCCTCGGCCCGCAGCACGGCGGCCGCGGGCGTCACAGTGAGGATGGCGTCGGGGGCCGGGGAGCTCTTCTCAATGTACTTGGCCTCGGCGGCCGCAGCCTTATGCGCACCGCCGGCGGCCTCGGCGCGGAAGGCCCGCGGGCTGCGCGCGGAGCCGCTGGACGAGGTGCTGGCACGCGGCGGCCCGGCGGCCGCCTCCACACTGTGGTGCCGCTGCAGGCCGTGGCCGAAGGCGTCCTTGTAGACGGGGGCCAGGAAGCCGTGCTTGCCGGCCAGTGGCTCCGACAGCAGCACCAGCTGCGGCTCGGCCGTGGACACGGCCCCGGACTTGCCGCCCTGGAAGGAGGTGGCCTCGGACTTGAGCGCGTCGATGCAGTTGTTGATGATCTGGTTGACCTTGTCCACCTCCTTGGCGATGGTGGAGATTTCGGCCACGGAGCTCTGGCTGTCGGGGCCGGGCCGGCCCAGCTCGCAGTCCCTGTGCTCCATCTGCTCGCCCGTGCGGACCTCCATGTAGTTGCCCTTGCTGGCCTTGGGGGTCCCGCCGCTCTCCCCCAGCTTGTACTGCTCTACCTCGCTGGCGGGCGCCGGCAGGTACGGGATGCGGGTCACCGCCTCGGGCCCCAGCAGCGGGCCCTGGGACAGCGGGGCCAGGCCGGGGGCCTCCAGCTCGGGCCCGTACTTGAGCTCGATGATGGTCTTCTTGAGGCTGCTGGCCGCGGCCGCCTTCTTGCGCTTCTCCTCCTGGCGCCTCCGCCTGCGCAGACAGCAGTAGACGGCGCCGAGCACCAGCAGCATGCCGAACAGACAGCCCAGGACGGTCATGATGTAGTGGGTGGCCGTGGGCGGGCTGGGCACGGGGCCCGGCGGGCTGGGCGGCCTGGGCAGGCCGATGGTGAGGCAGGTGTGGTTGTGACGCAGCCCAGAGCTGGTGGACACCACGCAGTAGGTGTAGTTAGCGAGCGTGTACAGGTTGGTCAGGCGGATCTCCTCCTGGGGCTTGGTCAGCCGGGACACGGTGGACGAGCGGCTGTTGTTGAAGTGCTCCAGCGTGTACATGCGGGTGAACGGGCTGGGCAGCTGCACCGTGATGGTGGCCGAGTTCTGGGTCAGCTGCTTGACCTTCAGGAGGGGCCGCGCCTCGGCCTGGGGGGCCAGCGTGGGCAGGGCCACCAGCGGCGTGGTGCCGTCGCCCGAGAAGCACTCCTCGTCGGCACACGGGGCCTCGCTGGGCTCCGGCGGCGGGGTCGGCGGGGGCGGCGAGCGGCCGGGGGGCAGGCGTCCTGGCGCCGGGGGCGGCTCGGCCACGTGGGAGCTGTCGGTGCACACGGACTGCAGCTTGCTGAGGATGCTGCGCTGGCCGTGGCGGCCCCGGCCCAGGAGGAAGTAGCCGGAGTAGAGCGGCGGCGACTCGCACTGCATGCGGTCGTAGGCGTGCGTGGCGTTGGTGAAGGCCGCCAGCCAGCGCAGGAAGCCCAGGAGCTCGCAGGAGCAGTAGAACGGGTTGCTGTAGAGCTCGCACACGGACAGCTTGGCCAGGCCCGCGAAGGTGGCGCCGTGCAGCCGCTGGATGCGGTTCATGGACAGGTCGACGTTGACGATGTTGGGGCACTCCCAGAAGGCGCTGCGCGTGACCACCTCGATGAGGTTAGCCTGCAGGTACAGGTACTCCAGCTTGCTCAGCCCGCGCAGCACGCCCTCCGTCAGGTTGCGGAGCCGGTTGTAGCCCAGCTGCAGCACCTGCAGGTTGAACTGGCCCGAGAAGGCGCCGTCCTCGATGTAGGCGATCTCGTTCTTGGTGAGGTTGAGGTACGTGAGGTTGCCGAAGCGGCTCAGCGAGGCGTACTGCACGCTGCGGATGCGGTTCTCGTTGAGCCGCAGGTCCACGATGGTGGTGTTGATCTGCTGCGGGATGGCCTCGTACGGCGGCTGGTTCTGGCTGCAGATGGCCAGCCACACGAAGCCCTTGTCACCCTCGATCAGCCAGCAGTCACCGTGCGCCAGCCCGCCCCCGTGCAGCTGGATGGCCGCCGCCACGCACACCCACAGCGCGCCCCACCGGCACCCGGCCATGGGGACGGCCTTGGCGGGAGACCCCGCGCTGCCTGCCCGGGGGGACCGGCTGGGGGGACAGAGGGGCAGGTGGGGAGGCGGCCGGCGCTCTCAGGGGTGTCCTGTCCCAGACCGCATGGTGGCGTCGCGCAAGTTCTGGGAGCCGGCCGCCTCCCTCACGGCCCGAGGCCCCCGGTCATCCTGCCGGGGCCAGGGCCGCCTCCCCCATCGGCCTGGGCGTCTGGACGTCTGGACAGCTCCGCCCCGCGCCTCCGGCTCCGTGGTCCTGTGGCAAGACAGAGGAGGAGAGAGCCGTCAGGAGAGGCTGGGGTTCCGGCAGGCCCCGCGGCTGAGTGTGGCCCTGCGCCAGGCCCGGCCGAGCCGCCCGGTCAAACGAGGAGGTGCATTCGGGGAGCCCGTGATCCGGCAGGACGATGCCGGGTGACAGAAGGGCTCAGGGCAGGCTGTGTCTCGAGGGAAGGGAGAGAAGGGAAGCCCTGGCCCCCAGCCCTCCCCGGCCCCATTTCCTCTCAGGGGGTACAAAACCCCACCTCCTCCTTTGGGCCGGGCTCAAAGGGATGGTGGCCCCAGAGAATCCAGAACCATGTGACTGGCGCAGGGCCACTCGCGTGACAAACGGGAGACAGGGACGTCCTCTCCTCAGAGGGCCCGGCCGCAGACTCACAGCCGCCTGCAGAGGGTGCTTGGAGCTGTGGCTCAAGGGTCCTCAGCCGCAGCATGCAAATCCCACCAGAGCCCTCAGGTGGCCTCCGGCTCCCCTCCAGGGAGGCGCAGGGAGGCAGCCGGCTCCGAGGACGGCTAGGTTCTGGGTCTGAGCCCTCCTGCGCAGGGTCCGGGCCCATCACACCCCTCTGGCTGGCCCTCAGGTTCCCCAAATGAGCCAGCTGGATGGCCTCCGGGGACTGGAGCCATCACGTCCCCTCGTGGGGGATCCTGGTTGAAAGGCCTGGAAGGAAGGAGTAACTCTGCCAAGAATCCCCCACGACCCCAGCCCAGGCAAGGACCGTCCCCTCCCGGCTCTGCCAGCCAGCTCCCAAGACGTGAGGGGATGGACCCTGTGCATCCCTGGGACGGGGCCGTCCCTCCTGTGTCCGGCTGGGGAGCCCCGCAGGCAGGGAGATGCGGCTGGACGCAGCAGCTCCCCGAGGACGCCCGCCCCGGCCGCAGGAGGACCCTCCGCAGGTCTCCCGCAGCACAGATGAAAGGGCGTGCGTTTCCTTGTTAATATTTGGATTTACAGCCGGCCTCTGTGGCCGCTCTGTGGCCTGGCCGGCAGCCTGCTGAGTATATTTCACGGACACTGACGTTTGCAACTAGTCTGCGCTGAGGCAGCTTAAATTAGGGAACAAAATATAATGATGTGAAATGGATTTTCTTCCCCTTTGGAAACTTCATGGAGCATCGTTTTGATCTGGCTCCTGGGGCAGAGAGGGGAGCGACCAGACCGGGTGGGCCCCGGGAGAGGTCCTCCTGGGCCGAGGCGGAGCCCACCCTGGGCCGGCCCGTGGCTGTGGGATTCCCTGCCAAGCACCGGGCCTCCCTGGGCCCGGTCGGAAGTGGCTCCAGGGCCCGGGTGGGGCAGGGAGCGAGCCTGTTGGGGGTGCTGGGATCCCCGCGTGGTGTCCCTGGGGAGCACGACGGAGTCGCCGTCCTGCGGCGCCACGCCTCCGCCCCACCTGTAGCCGCGCCCTCCACCAGGGGACCCGGTGTGCGTCAGTGGGCGGCGGCAGGTGGGGGAAGCGTGGGGCAGTCCAGCTCCTGCCGCGGAAGCAGGTGTGTAGAGCAGGCCTGTCTAGGAAGATCAGCAATGCTGATTGTAATCACCTTTTAATCTCTTGCTCAAAATAACCCAAAGTCAAGTTAAGGAGGATTACAGGCCCTGAAGACGCCTGCCTGTGGAGGAGAGACGGGGCCCCTGGGCTACCAGCCTCCCCCCGGCCGGGGCCACTCGGCGCCGTGGTGGCCCTGGGGAGCTGCGACACACGTGGGTTTGTGTGCGTGTGGGGCTCGCACACGTGTGTGCTCTGCACGTGCAGGCCTGCGTGTGCAAGGGTGAAGACGGGCTGACACCCCCGGGCACGTGCACGGGGTGCTTTCCGGAGGACCCGGCTCCGCGGTGTGCAGCACCGTGAGGCCCACCACTGGTGCCCCCCAGCCCGGGGCACCAGTCTAGGAACGTGGCGCTCGGGACAGGCACGTGGTTCTGGGGACCCGTCTCACCTCCCCTGTGCACCAGCCGCCCGCCCCCAGGCCGACCCGCGTGATGAGGGAGGCAGGGCTGGACCCCGGGCACGCCCTCTGGCCTGGTGGGCATCTTGCTCTCACCTTCCAGAGCCTGGGCTGCGTGGGGATGGGAGTCCTCCGGCCCCTCACTGGCCTCAGGGGGAGGGACACGCTAGGAGGCTGGGTGTGACCCTGCTGGCTGGTCCCCTCTGCCCCTTTTACAGCCCCCGAGACCTGGCCTCAGAGGGACCCCGGGATTACAGACGGGAAGCGGAGGCCGGCGCGAGGGCACACCGGGAGTGGCCCCGTCCTCCTCCCGCTGCGGCTGGGTGTCGCGCCCGCAGGTGCCTCGCCCCTCCAGGAGGCCCCTCGGCTGCAGGGACCGGGCTCCCCAAGCGGAGGGGTTAACACCCCACGGGCCTCGGGAAACAGATGCGCAGGGAAAAGGCCGAATCTGCTAGAAGGGTTCTGCTCGGGTCGCGCGCCATCCCCAGGACCGCCCTCTCCTCCTGGACTCACTCGTTCATCCGTCAGTCCTCTGTACCTGGCCGTATCACCAGCCCCGCCCCCTTTGCCCCTCATTTCTTCCCATACACACCTGTCCTCTGCGCCCGGCCAGTCACTCATTGAACAAATGTACCCAGGACGCCGGTGGGGGCCGCAGGTCCGTGTCACGGCAGCCCCCGACCTGATCTGGCCCTCCCCCTGACTGCACCGGCCGCCCACACCCCTGCAGGCCTGGGATCCCTCTGCCAGCGCCTCGCCCTCCGCCCCATCCCTGCCCGCTCGTGGTGCCGTCCAGCTGGGCAAGCCCCGGCCCCATGTGGCTGCTGGGCGCTAGACCTGCGGCTGTCGTACTGGACAGCACAGTTCTAGAACCTTCCACAGAAACAACTTGACCCAAATACACTCCAGCCCGTGCCCCATCTCCTTCCCCTCGTGGCGGATTTTTTTTGGCTCCAACCCCTCCAGCACAGCGTCCACCCTGGCACTCCCGCGCGGTCACCGGCGACCCGTCTTGCCAGCTCTGAGGGCATGCCATGTTTTTATTCCTCGTGGCCCCTCAGCAGCACCTGGCCCAGGTAACCAGCAGCCGCTCCTGCTTCTGGTCTCCAAGCTGCCGCCTCACCTGCCCAGTCCCCTCCACGGTCCCTGAGGCTAGGCTCCGGCCTCAGCCTGCACCCTCTCTGCTCACTTTCCCGGGGGTCTCAGCCCCACCCAGACTCACAGACACCTCCCCGTCCAGGCACATGCCCCACCTCCACCCCGTTCCTCAAACCCCGAATCCATGCGCTCCCCTCCCTCGCAACCCCCAGCCCAGAAGCAAAAGCGTCCACCCCCCCCCCCCAGGGTCTCTGGGGTCGTCTTCTGGCCCCTGCAACCACGGCCACGCCGGTCCAAGCCACCACGGCTCCCTCCCGCTGCCCACAACGCACTCCCCCTCTGCAGCCACAGGACCTGGGAGCGCAGTCATGGGATCCTGCCACTCCGCCATCCCGCCCACAACCCTGGATGACATCCGTTTTCCACGAGCGGAGGAAGACCCAGGCTCCACGCGGACCTACTAGGCCTTGCCTGCTGCCAGACCCCCTGCACACACCACCCCCATCCTTCCGCCCTGGTCGCTCCCTGCAAAGCTCTTGCTTCGCATCCTAGAGCCAACAGCTCCCCCAGGCTGAACAGCACCCCTTTTAAGGCCCTGCCTGGCACTTGCTGATTTACTTCTTTATTCACTGCTGGTCCCTCCCCACTGGGACGCAAGCTCCAGCGCAGGAGCCCCGTGTCCCGCCCGGCTGCAGGGACATCGCCAGCCCAGAGCAACAGCTCTGGGGGAAGGACCGGCCTTCAGCTCAGTTTTCTCATCTGTGAAACGGGAGTAAAACATGCCTCCTCCCCACGGGGCTTGGGCCTTCCCCAAATCATTACCTTCTTGGGTTTCTTGGGCCAGTGAGTGGGAGCGGTCCCCACGCTCTGCAGGGATACAGACCACCCCTGCAGTCACAGCCCACGTCACTGGGGGCCACACCAGCCCGAGCCGCCCCTGATCTGTGGATTCCAACGCATCCGGCAGGATGAGAAATGCACGTCTATCTGATGTCCTCACTTTGCAAAACACCCACCTGCAGCCCCAGGGATGTTTCTCCGTGCACACCCCCCCCCCCCCCAGATGGAGCACACGGCCCCGGGGAACTCGCCGACCCCCTGCCTGCTTCCTTCACGGACACCTCACGCTGGCCCCTCGAAGGCCCCAGGACGAGGACCCCACATTGCAGAGGGACGGGGCTTGATTTCTGGCCCCGACAGGAACGGATTCGGGGCCAGTCCCTGCTCACCTCACTCTGCCTTCAGTCAGCGCGCATGGAGCCTGGGGTCTCCTCGTGTCCCAGCAGAGACCAGAAGCCCCCCAGCTCCAGGTGGTGCCCTGTGTGGTTGGCGTTCACATGCACACGATGGCCAGGCTTCAGGTGTGCATGTCTGTCTGCACACGTGTGTTCACACGTGCCTGGGAGGGGTCTGACAGGGGTCACTGAAGCAGACTGGCCTGAGGTCACCAGACACCCAGGGGAAGGGACGGGTGGGGCCTGAAAGGGGGCTCCCCCCCCCCAGCCACCATCACCATGACGATTGGGACAACTCCCAGAGCCATTACATCATTAAGCCCCGTCACTGTTCTCCACAGTGACAGGGGACAGTGACCATGCTCTCTGTGGCCCAGGAGAGAGGACCGGCCAGGGAGCCTCAGCCAGTCAGGCAGGACAGGCCCACCCGAGCCCCTCAGCCACCGACCCCACAGCTCCCTATGGAGGGGCCCCCTGGTGCCCAGGAAAGGGGGCGGACAGAGCCCCTGGCTGGGGGGCATCGGGCCCCGCCCAGGCCTGCAGGCACCGGGAGGTACTCACAGGGCCTCCCAGGGCCCGGCCTGGGGGTGGATGCAGTCGGCAGGGGTGGCCAGCATTCCCCGGTCCCTGGGTGTGCAGCGCCGGGGGGCACGGATGGAACCCCGAGAGTGGGAGAAGGGGAGGCTGGATTCCACTAGAAATG